AGTGAGTTTCAAAAATAAATTTAAGATTTTTAGGTCGCACATTAACGGAACAGATCCTCGTAAAAATTCAACTTCATATTTCGCCTGATTCACGAAATTATTTCCTCGCTAACGCGGTAAATGCTTCCTTTTTGAAAAAACAAAAAATGCAAATTTTTTGAAAAAATGCAAATTTCCAGTACACTAAAAAGTGGAAATGTTGTTAGAGCTGTCGTTTGTCAAAAAATCCAACTATGCAAATGAACTGAATGTTCATTTACACATCTAGATGAGGGCAGTCGTTTACTGCAAAATGTACTCGTTTCTGACTTTCAGTAAAGTTGAGTACTTCTCACGCCCATCTACAGGAAATTTTACCTCTAAGCAGAATTAAGACCGCATTTGAAAATAGAATAGCCCAGCGAAGTTTCAGTCTCGAACCTTATCCGACAAGCAAAATAGCCACTTCGCTACAAATATCATTTGAGTGCCCTAAGTCGTGGCGCACGTGCAAATCGGTACTCATTTTAGGTATGCAATTTTCCATATGAACAACAAACATGCTGACAAAACTTCAATCGCTCTTTTCCGGCAGGTCTTCGAGTCAGCATAGTATCAAGTAGCAAATTTTGGCAGGGTCGTACGCGCTGCACAAGCGTGTGCGACAGCTGAATTTGAAATCTTTAGCTCGCACATGTACAGAAAATATTCCTGCTAAGTTTCAGCTTTGTAGCTTGCCTGGTTCGTAAAGTCGTTCACCGCCAAAGAATATGCATATTTTTTCGGGGGTCCGTAAGCGGGGTGTCCTCGCGAAAAAATTGCTGACCTGGGAATCCGCAAAGCTGGGAGGTTAAAATTTTAAGGGGATGTTCCCTGACAAAGCTCCATATAGTTGCATAATCAATTTCGTGAAATTCGAAGAGCGGTATGCAATAAATTCTAACTACTGGAACTCCAACCGATCTTGTAACAACCACCAAATAGTGCAAAAACGCATGATCGCGCAGGCCCGCCGGGTGTGCGTCTCCAATGATTTTTCTTACTCTAGTTCGCGAAGGTTTTGATTAACACAGTTTTAACGTGTAAGGAACTGTTAGGTACTTACTGATTAATTTTTTTATGCGTTTTTGCGGCTTATTTTGCGCTACAGTGGTCAGTAACGTGGTATTGACACGCAACACTATTGCCGGTGGCGATCATGTGTTTATGCAGCCTGTAACCTGTATTATTCTTATGGTAGACATTAGTGTACATGAAAGTTGCGATTATGTTTTTGTGTCTCATAGCAACAGGCAAGATTCTCATGAAATTTCAGATTTCTTCTACACCTGAATTTCGAGAGAGCCGATAGCGGAAACAGGTGGTACTGCCTTGCTCTGACAAGAACTTACGCTTATTAAAGTGTGATTAGTTTCTGATACTGTATACAGAAGTGCCGATGATTCGAAAAAAGCGGTATGGATACAGGACTGAGCTGATGTCAAGCAGGCAATTTACTGAATGAAACAGAAATGATACAGTAGAAAGAATGGGTAATCATACAAATTACTAGTATTTTTACAGGAAGATCGGTTACTAAGAAGGCAGTCAGGCAATAGAAGTTGACGTGCAGGAATTGACAGTATGCATGGACCTCGGCTCATCAAATTGCCCGTCTTGTATGCCAAGGATCTTAATAAAGATACCACGTTTCATAATCTCCGAAGCTGTCTTTGTTTAGCATTCCAAAATAGGTCCCTTATGAGTCCGAAATGAATTTTATCGCTCTAGTTCCAGTGTAGAATGAGAAAACCGGAAGGAGAAAAGTGGAATGGGAAAGAAGAGTCGGATACCTGTCAGAGATCGGCTAGTTAATATTCGCAGAAAAAATGGCTAGTATTCGCAAAAAATACTGCTCAGTTTAGTTACCCGATTTAATTTGCTGCTAAAAATGCTTCTAGTCAAACTTTTTGCTTGCGTGCATGTGAGACTTAGGTGTGCTTTAAAGATGAATTTGAGATAGTTAGGTCGCATGGGCATAGAATATTCCCGTAAAAAAATTTTAGCTTTCCCGGCTTGACTGGTTGACAATATCATTTTTCTTTACAAATGTCTTTGGCTTGTTCAAACGTTCGGTACAGACGCACAACAGTGCTCTTTTGTTTGCCGGTGTGCAGGCGATAAATATTCTCGCCAAGTCAGGACTCTCTATTTGGTCGAATTCCAAAGGTGACATTTTGCAAATACGTTTCGATTTCAACATTAACATATCAGTACGTGTGACACAAGCATTCATTAAAACTGAATTAGAAATCTTTAGCTTATGTGGGTGTGCACATGTGTGTACGTGTGTGTGCGTGTACGTATGCGTTCTTACGTGTGCATGAGCGTGTGCATGTGCATGTACATATGTGTATGTGTGTACGTGTAGTGTGTGTATGTGTACGTGTGCTTTTCCGACTATGTGTATACGTGTACATATTCGTATGTGCGCATGTATTTGTACGCATGTGCATTAATATGCATGTACGTGTGTCTTAAACTTTTTGCAGAAAAGCTTATGCTTCGAGACATTTTTCATTTGCAGCTGCAGATTCTCACTTTCTTCAAAGAACTGTGAAGTTTCTTAGTTGGCTTACGGTAACAGTTGGTTTGATCTGATTTCGAGTTGTTACTTTGAGACATTTGTGGAATTGACCTTCAACAAATTCAGGTCAAGTTCGTGTTTATTTGATTCTCGAGTCGTGATATTCAGCTTCAAATTGGTCCTTGTATAGCACGAAAATGGGCTGCATGCCTTT